GTTAAGGTTCAAGCTCTTAATCCAGGAGTTTTCAGGCCCATCTAAGGCCAAATTTGAGAACAGGGGGCGATTTTACACGGGATATGGTCTTTAGTTTGTCTTTAATCTAACGATTTCACAGGTTCCATATTTTGGTGGATCGGAGAAGACGACCGGAGTTTGACTCTGGTGTCTCTGACTCTATTGACTCCGGCAAAGGGTATGCCTGGCTTCAAGCCATGTCCTGATTGGTTTGTTCAAAAAATGAGGGACCCAGTACAACGCGCGTTTGACATCTCAGCATTTTATAATGTTTCACATATATTATTATTTTGTTATTTGTATCAACGAATGATAGGTTGGCTGAGTGGTGAGAAAGGCGCGTGCAGTAAGGAAGGACCTGGGTTCGATACCCAGATCTGGATTTTTATTTTTCTAATATGTTTCCTGCAGATCCAATGCTCCCAGATCCTAAACGTGCACCATGTACCATCTGGTAGTCATCATCTGATCCAGATATGAAGGCATCAGACGCACTCTCATCATGGACCCTCAAGGGGCTTCCCTCACTGAATCCAACGCAAGCATGGGCTCTTAAATTTGGGCCTAGCGAAATTCCAGATCACACCCCCCTCATTGCTTACATCAGGCCCAACTCTTTTCTATTTTTTATTCTTTTTTTTTTTAGTTTATTATTTATTTGTTTTATATTTATTAATTTTCAAAACAATTCTTTTCTTTATTCATAAAATCAGAAATAAAACATAAAAAACTTAGATTTAGATTTCATTTATTAAAATTTAATTTTCATAATTAATTTGGTTAATTGTTTTTTTAACTTTTATTTCTTAAATTAAAACCAATTAGAATTAGGTTTAATTTTTAATATTTCTTTAAAAAAATGCCAAAAATATTAGGTTTGTTTTAGAATTATTTTAATTAATAATTTTTCTTTTCTTTTTTAATTAATTATATTTAATTTAATTTAATACTTTATCTAATAAACGAAAACAACAAAAAGATTTTCTCTCACTTAGAACTTTTTAGGGTTTTTAGACGTCCTTTCTAATTCGCGCGTTTAGTGTTTTCATTTATCATTTTCACATTATTGTATCTAATTATGGGTGGTAATAGTTAAAATTAGGACTTTATTTATTGCTTTTTATCCCCTTTTGGACTTGTAAATTCCCCCTCCCTGAAGCCATTTAATAGCTAGATTTAAATTCCGCACTTTTAATTCATGTACATATATTAACTATTTAGATGTATGGGAATAGGATTGTGTGGCAAGAAAATTAAAAACAAAATGTTAGCAAGCTTAACACAAAGATAAATAACTAAAACACAACGCACTCATACATGCGCACCTCTAGAGTATCCCCACTTCGGTTGCCTTCGGATTAAAACAGTCATAACTCTTGAAACGTGAGAAATTTTAGTGTCTACCCTCCAGTTTAAAGATCACAAAAAATGATCCTCTCGATGTCGCCTCTGTATGATCTTAAAACCCTAGGGTAGTTACTAAAGTATCTTGCCCAGTTGCCTTTGTGACTAAAACGATTTCCCTTCGATTGTCCCTCAAACATCCAATAATGGGGCTACCTACTCACTAATAGTAGGATATCACTGTCTAAAGGAAAAGAGGAAAAGGACAACCCTTTCGAGTAAAGTAGATAGTTCTTAGATGCTTGTTCAAAAACTATTTTTCACATAATAAAACTCTTTCCAAAAAACATTTTTCAAAACACTTTGGATGCATTCTCAATAATACGAGAAACATTACAAAGTTCGCCGCACTAAGGCGTATTTTCGAAATACTTTTTTCAAACATACAAACACAAGGTATTTTCAAATGAGCTAGCATCTAAGAGCCCGTAGATAACTACGGATGGAAAGGGTGCTAACATCTTCCCTTTTCTATAATCTACCCCCTTACTCAGAAATAATCTCGAAAGGTCTTTTTCTGTTCTTTTCACCCTTTCCTTTGTTGGATAAAAGAAAAGTCGGTGGCGACTCTTGCTTACTGCAACATTTTCAAATACAAATGTAAAACCAGTATAACAGTCGGTTTTGCCACCGTATTACAAGGTCCAAGGAAGGTTAATCAATCATCATATTACACCTGGAAGCATCCATACGCGTTCTGAGTTTTCACTTCAAGAGGTAAGTTTTCTAAACTATGATATCTCCATTTAAGCATCATTTGCAAATACATTCTAAAGCAAAAATGTAGATATCATGCCTCTAAAGCTAACCATATCTTTAGTTTTCATTTATGTTGTCTGTGTGTTGAGAATTTTTCCTCTGAACCGTTAGGGTTCATTTTTGGTACCAACAGAAATTCTTGCTTATCTTCGAGTGTTGGTTAAAACAAGTTATATAGTTGAATTCGTGATTAAATTTAAAGCAAGTTTAGTTTTGGAAGTTTTCAAAATGGATGAGAAATGAGAGTTTTAGGAATTCAACAATGATGTTGTTGTCCGTTAGTGCGCGAGGGGAAGGAGAAGATGGTGATCTGGCCATTTCAAAATTTTAAAAACCATGTTTATTATATATTTTTTGGGTGTTGTTTCATAACCGGATGAAACAGCCACCCTAGTGACAAGCGTGTGTGTGAGTAAGGTGTTGGTGTGTCAGGGAAGGGGTTCGATCCTTGCCTCTGGAATTTTATTTTCTAACATTTTCTTTGCATATCAGGAGCAAGTAATCCCAACACACGCATGGTGTACCTCACCTCCACACCATCAGATCTCAACTATCTTGATCCAACATTCCCAAATCAGAACGCCTATAGTGCACTCCAAAGAATTGTCCACACATGATCATCACATGCACCTGGGCTTAAGGTGTTGGGCTTGGCAATTTCAGATCCCATACCCCCGAATCTCTTCTACAACACAGACCCATTGATTTTATTTTTTTGTTTTAATTTAATTCTTTTCTTTTTTTAATCAATTTCATTTTTTTATAAAATAAAAAAAATCATAAAATCATAAATAAATTAGATTTAGGTTTTAATAAATTAATTTAATTTTTATTTAATAGAAATTAATTAATTTAGTCACACTTTGTTTTATTTTAAATAATTAACTAATGAATTAATTAGAATTAGGTTTTATTCTTTATTTTACATTTCAAATATTTTTCTAAACAAAAACAACAAAAATATTTTTCTTAATTGCTTAGAATTTTTTTTAGGGTTTTTAATATCCATTCTCTTTCCAATCTCCGCACATTTAATTATTTTTCGCCTTATATAATTTTTGTAACTGTCAAAGGGATGTAATAGTTTAAATTAAGGTTTCTTTATTTTTTTTCCCCATTTTATGGTTTGTAACTCCCCATCCCCGAAGCCTTGTAATAGCGTAGAACATTTAATTTCTGTAATTTACTGCTTTCCTTATTACTGTTAGTTTAATAGGATTGCATGGCAAGACGTAAAAAGAACAAACATTAGAAAAACTAATCTCAAGACAAATACTTGAAATCAAAACACTTCGCACACGCACACCTCTAGGGTAACCTCACTTGTTGCCTTGGATTTAAACAGTCATGTCCCTCGAACGTGGGACGCTTTAACAAAGACCCTCAGTTAAAAGATCGTAGTCCCTCAATGACCCTTCAATGCTGCTTTCGGTAAACGATCTTAGTCCCTTACGACAATTGTTAAAGCATCCTACAAGTTTCCTTCTATGACTGTACGATGACCCACGCCTATCCCTCACATCTAATGATAGGGCTTCCTACTAACTACTGGTAGGGTAGCACCATCTGAAGGAGGAGGAAAAGAACAAAGACTTTTTGAGTAGGTAGAACGCTCGTAGTCGCTTGCTCACAAACTTTTTAAAATAAAACATCTTTTTCACAAAACAACACTTTCTTTCACAAATATTTTCAAAAAAAAAAACATTTTGTATACATTCTCAACGATACGAGAATCATTACAAAATTGCTGCACTTAGGCATTTTCAAAATATTTTCAAACAAACACAAATACAAAGCATTTCCAAAAAAGTGAGCTAGCGATTAAGAGCCCATAGATAACTACCGATGAAAAGGGTGTTAATACCTTCCCTTTTTATAACCTACCCCTTTACTCAAAAAAAAATTCTCAAAGGTATTTCCTGTTCTTTTCACCCTTTCCGGTGGCGACTCTTGATATCCGCGACATTTGCAATAAAACACAAAACCAAAAGTCAGTTCTCACACTGTATTACAGTAGTGGAATTAAACGTTGATTGTACCATGTACTATTTGTACCATATTAACATTATCTTCTTTCCTTCTGCACTCCAGAGGCTTCTGTGAGCATGATTTTAGAAGCGAGAACATAATACAAGGTCATCAGAACTTCAAGTCTTCAGAGTCTTCAGAATTGTGTCTTCAGAGTCTTCAGCAATTGGTTGTGAGAACCTTTTCTTGGAGCCTTGGGTGTTTAGAACTTAAAGTCTTTAGAATCTTTAGAACTTCTGTCTTTAGAGTCTTCAGCACTTGGTCTTTAGAACCCTTATATTTATAACTTTGGATCTTTAGAAACTTGAGTCTTTAGCATCTGGACTTGAGTAGAAACTTATGTCTTCATATCTTCTGACGGTTTCTTTAGAACCCGTTGTCTTTAGAAACACGAGTCTTCAACATCTGGACTTAAATAGCAACTTATGTCTTCAGATCTTCTGACTGGTTTCTTTAGACAAATATAAGAGCTTACACTTCAGAGCCTTCGGAAGTGTCTTGCTACTGTTCAACAGAACTTGTGTAGCACAGAAGCGGAACTAATTCTCTTCTAATGTCTTGGTCACACCATCCATCATAAGTATAACCTGTTTGTTAAGTACTCAACAGTAACAAACATTAGAGTATCAAAATTGTTCATACAAACATACTCATTTGTTATTATCAAAACTTAGAGATAATATTGAAGAACTAAATCTTGTTCTAACACCCCCTTCAAAGTTAACATTTGGACATGAGTATTTTCGGTTAATATTCTCAGTGGTCCCGTCCATATTAACTCCCTCAAATTAACCTTCTTGGTCAACTGCAGTTGAATCTTCTACACCAGTTGGCCCTTCTTCATCGAATTTGTTACCTAGATTATTAAAATCTTCAATGTTCCCTAAGTCATCAAAAGTTCCTATTACAACAACATTATTCAATTCATCCAACATGTCATCTTCCAATTTGTCGTCTTCTATGCCATTGGGACCTACATTGTTTTCAATAGGCAATATTTTCTCTTCCCCCAACACTGGATGTATTACATATAGATGCATATTCCCATTAATTAGTGCAATAATTTTCATTCTATTTGTTGAAACAACACTAACTCATTATCATTCATTGCATCATAATACCACAAGCTATCTTTTTTTGGATACCTTAAGTCTTTTAACCCACCCAGAATCTCAAAATAACTCCAAAAATCAGGGTCAACAAGCCAAATTTCCTCTAATCCCTTGTAACCTAGTCTTTTAAACTCACCAAACACACCCCCATGATGGACAACACACTAAAACCTATCACTCATGACCTAATCACAACAAATAAGAAAGAAATAAGACTCCGGAGTAGAATACAATGGAACTCCGGTGTAGAAGACAATGTTAAGGTGATAACTATGAAAATGAGACAATGTTAAGTTCATACATGTACCTTGGCCTGGAAATGAGACAACGGTAACATTGATAACAATCACCTTCTACTATGTTCCAACAATCGTCGTCTTCAAGCACGAGTTTTTCTTCGCATCTGCTAGGGTTTTTAAGACAATGGAACTATGAAAATGAAATGGAAGATTTTGATGTTTCTAAATATGAGACATCAGTATGTACATATAATAAAAAATAAAACAAAACATTAACAAGATGCCACATTAGTTCATAAATTTTCCACAAAGGCGCCTGTGATACGGTGGGAGAACTGACTTGAGGTTTTGCGTTTTTTGTTCGCAAATGTTTTGGTTTAGCAAGAGTCGCCACCGACTTTTTATTTTATCCTAAGGAAAGGTTAAAAAGCACAGGAAAAACCTTTGAGATGTTTTCTTGGGTTCGGGGAGTAGATTATAGAAAGGGAAGGTATTAGCACCCTTTCTATCCATGGTTATCCATGGGCTCTTAGTTACTTGCTTAGATCACTTGCTTTGTATTTTCAATTGTTTGAAATGGTGCTTTGTGTGTGTGGTTTTGAAAATGTTTTGAAAAAGATGTCTTGTTTAGGCAACCATTGTAACAATTCTTGTTTGAATGTTTTACAAAGGTGTTTGTCTTTTTGAAAAGATGTTTCAATGTTTTTTGAAAGTTGTTTTTGAAGTTGTGTTTTGATGTGTGTTTTAAAAAATGGCAAGGATTGTTTTGCAAGTTTGGTCAAGTAATCAAGAGCTATCTACCCTAAATTTCTCAAAGATCTTTCTTATGTTTTAACCCTTTTAACAGTGTTATTTCACCATTGTATTTGGTGAACAACCTTGTGTTAGGATGTTAATGGGACGGGCGCGGGTCATCGTTTAGACCATGAATGCAATAGTGTCAAGTATTTTGGCAATTTTCTTGAGGGACTTGATCATTTTTGTTTAGGCAACTTGATAGCGTCATCGAGGGACTATGATCATTTGATTTATTTTTGTTTTGCCAAAGTACTTGACGTGCAACCATGGCCCATTTTTGAAGGCAACAAGTGGAGTAACCCTAGGGGTGTGAGTGTGCATTATGTTTATTTTTCATGCATGTTTATCTTGAATTAGGTCAAGCTATTTGCTGATTGATTTTTGCATACAAACCCTAGGTCTATCATGGCATAATTTGGGAGCTATTAAATGTGCGAGAATTTAAAGTCCTAAATTATTACAACATGATTATGGGGATGGGGATACAAGTTTGAATTTGGGGGATATTTGACAAGGAAATAAAAATCTAAATTATTACAACCATATCGAATATACAAATATTTAACATTTAAATAAATACAATTTAAATAAATATCAAAATGCATGCAAAAAAGGATTTTTTATGTATGTAAAAAGGTTTTCATGTTTGAAGTATAAACAAAATAAAAAGTCATATTTTTGATTATTTTTGTTGTTTAGGGCAAAACCCTAATTTTTGAATAAATAGTATCTATTTATTAATTATGTACAAGATATATTAATTTATACAAAAAATAATAAAAAAATGAAGTGTATTGTAGAAAAAGTATTTTTGGTGTCAAATATTAAATAAAAAATAAAAGGTATTATTTTTGTATTTTTGCCCTAAATATTTAATAAAATATGTATAAGTATATATTATATATATTTAATATGCTAAATATGTAAAAAATAAAATATTAATTATTTACAAAAATGCATATTTTAGAAAATGCTTTCAAAATATAAATAAAAAATAATAACTAATAAATATTTTTATATTATTTTCTTAGGGTTTTAAATAAAAAGGTTTTATATTATTTACATGTATATGCTTAATAAAACAAATAAATGCCAAATAAATGTAAAAAATGTGGAAAAATATTTTTGGTGTTTTTTATGTTTGAGCAAAAAAATATAAAGTCAGAATCAAAAGGAAAAATGCAAAAATATCAAATATTTCACATAATGGGCCAGGGGGTGCAAATGGAAAAAAGGGGTGCAAAAAGAAAGCTGACTCAGGCCCAGCCCAAGCCAACTCTGTCTTCAACCTCCAGCAACCTTTTGAATCAAAAAACGCGCATTTCCTTGTACAACTACCATCTCTTGATTCCTTGATTTTTAGCCAAAACTCATAACACAAACATTGTAGAGCATCAAAAGACGAATTCAAACATGTAAAAAACTTGGATTAACTCTCAAAGGCCAGAGAGAATTTCTTTGGCCCTAAATTTTAACCTAATTTTTCCCTCATGTTCATGGCTAAAATTCTCACAGCATGCTTAACATAAATGAAAAGTGATCATATGTATGGCTTCAGGGCTATGAGTAGGACATGTTTCATTCACAAACCTAAGCTTAACTCTTCCTAGATTGAGAGATAGAAGTCCATGGTTTTACCTATTTCAGCTTGAATCGTATACAGCAATGTGGCCAACTTCAATGGAGTTTGAGCTTCTGTATAGCTTGCCTGAAGTCCAAGGAAGCTTCTCCAACACCTAGCTTGCTTTGAATCACTTTGTATCGTGCTATGGAAGTTCACCTACAAAATTAAAAAATGAAAATGGAAACTGAGGTTAGGGGAGTTACGGCTTGTGTTTAGGACTTGGAATAGTTTGTGTGGATGGTGTGGAATGCGTTGGAACTTGTTTGGGCAAAAACGCACGAGTGGATAATGCTAGGCAAGTCAATCTGCAGAGAATGCCCTGTTTTGTAGCAAAACAGGGATTTTGAGTATTAAGAAGTGTGAGGGATGGTTCAATCGTGTTTTAGGCTTGGCTTGATGTATGGAAAAGGTTCACAAGGCTTGTTCTTGGCTGTGTTGACAGGAAGTGGAAGTTGGAGTTGTTTTGCAATGTTTCTTCAAGTGTAAGCAAAGAAATGTAAGTTCTAATACCAGCTAGTACAATGCCCTAATGTATGCTGCAAGTTAGGCTCTTGATAACTGGGATTTGTGGATTTGATTTGGCTCTAAGATCTGGCCCCATGCCTCAAGGATTTGGTATTTGACATAAAGCATAACTTTATCAAAATGGCATTCTACCTTTTTCCATTTAAGGGTTAATTTTGTGTGCAATGTCCAAATGAACAAAATAATGCATTATCTCAGTGGATTTGCATTCAATTAAGGAGTGTAAAAGGGTTTAGAGGCCTGCAAGCTAGCACAAACCAGACTGATTTGAAAATGCCATTTGCTATGAACATGTATTGGTCATGAACAAAAGTGAGTTTTGGCCAACTTTGTGAATTCGATTCTCTCTAACCACAAGGGTGTTTGATGAGTTCTTTGACAATTTGGAAAGCTTGGAACATGTACTACAATCCATCTTTGCAATGCAACTTGAAATTCCTCTTGGAACTAGGTGAAAAGTTGCCATGAAGTTAGGTCAAAAACCTGCCTAAAATAGGGCAAAATTTCTCTAAGTTAAAAATATTTTGCACCCTTGTTCCAAAAATCATAATTTGAGATAAAATCTTCCTTTGAGAAAACTTTGTGAATAAAAGTTGTAGATTTTGCAATGGACTACAACTTTCATGTTTCAAGTTTTGTTTGAATCCATTTGCATCTTGGTGAAAAAATGGGACAAAGTTAGGGAAAAAAAATAAGAAAGTTTCATAACTTAGAAAATTTTCTAAGTTATGAAATTTTCCATTTTAAACCCTAATTTGTAATTTTTGGTTTCTTGATGAACAAGTTTCATAATTTTACATGTCTTGATGAAAAATGAATCTTGGCACTTGATTTTGACCAAAAAGCCAACGTTTGACTTTTCAGTATACAGTCAAATTTTGATCAGTTGACTTGAAAAATTCATCTGTCAATCCTATGCATTTGAGATCTTTTGAACTTGTTGAGTGGGTCAAGACAATACCATTGAGTCCTTGAGTCCATATATGAGCTTGGTTTGCCATTGGTTAGGTCAAACAGTCAAAAATTGCCTTTGTGCAGTCAAAACCCTAAAAATGACCATTTTGCCCTTTTGGTGATCTGATCAAATTTCTTGTGGAATTATGATCCAAACTTGACCAAATGGTTCATGTGAGTTCATTATGTTAATGTGGGTCAAAATTCATGAGGTTTGACTATCAATTGGCCACAGTTGACTTTTTCCCCAATACAGTTGATTTCTAGGTCAATTGTCCAATTGACTGGGAAAAGATTGGAATCAAGGCTTGAAACTTGGTATGGATAAACTTGTAAGTCCAACATGAAGCATGAAAGTCACTTTGGGCTTTTTAGGTCAGAACATCCCTATGCAAACTCAAACCCTAATTTGGGTCAACAATGCAAGGAGGGGTCTTGAGCAGAGCAAACCCTAACTTGATCTTGAGTTCCAAGAGTCTTGTGATGAGAAAATGTTGATGAAATGAGAGGGAAAATTTTGGGGTACAACAGTTGCCCCTGTTCAATCTTCTTGAACCTGAAGAGTTAGATTGGCAGGTTTGCCGTTCGCGACTCGAAGGTAAAAGGAGATTGGACACTAGAGTGCCCAAAACATTTGCACTCGTCAAAGCGTAGTTTGAGGGAATGGGCTTAAAGATGCCATTTGGAGATGGGCTTAAAGATGCCATCTGGAGTTGTGACAGAATCTTGTCGGGGGATGGGCTTAGAGATGCCATCTGGAAATTGTTGGTAGGAGGATAGGCTTATAGATGCCATCTGAAGGTGATTGTATCTTGTTG